CCCCCGCGCGGCTGTCCGGCCCGGCCGTTGCTGCCTCGGTCTCGCCCCGCCAGCAGCCCCATAAGTCCGGAAAAGCCGGCTCTCTGGTCGCCGGAACGAGGCCGCCATGGCCGGCTGGCACCCGCCAAGCAGCTCAAATTCAAACACCGCGAGACTCCCGCCTTTCGGTCCGCCTACCCTCTGGGTCCTAGCTTCCGGCCGTGCGCAGGCGCAGCGCGCTGGGTTGTAAGGAAGCCGGATATGGCGGTTTTGTTCTCAGTGCACTGAGCGAATGGCTCTCGTTTCAGGCCTACACGTTGTGCACCCAGAGTCAGGAACGTGCCTGTGGAAGCGATCCGGTTCAGGTGAGCGTGGCCGCCCCGAGAAGCTAAGAAGGGATTGAAGAAGGCCCGAAGCGGGTGACAGGAGAGATCAGATAGCTGCTTTTCTGAGGTTCCCCTGAAGCCCTCAACATTCTCCTCACCTGGTTTGTCAGACTGGGGCTTTGCTGGGGCCTGGGTGATTGCTCGTACTGCTCATATTCTCCATCCTGGGTCTTTAAAGCGCTTTGTGCCCTGAATGTTAAAAACGTCAGCCTTTCCGCACGGAAAGGGATTAAGCTAACTACATACGCTTTGCTTTTCTAGCATGTTGAAGAATGGCACTCAGTGAGCTGTACCATCACTTCGCATAAAGAAAATGTCACCGTGGCTGCAGAGATCTCCTTGGATCATTCTAAGCAGGTACTTGAGACTGAACAGATGTGATTAGTAAGCTCTAGGGCCTCTCTTCCTACAGAGGTTAGTAGCATTTAAAATGTAGCACGTCCCTGTGCTCGCTTTGGCAGCACATATACTAAAATCTAACACGTCTAAAACAGATCTCTTTCACCTTCTGTCCCAGCCTGTTCCTTAGCCAGTGAGTGGGGCTACCTTCAGTAAGTAATTTACTCCTTTTGGGTACTAGGAATTCTAGGAATTACCCATGACTCCCCCGTTTTCTACATCACATATTTATTCCAGCAGCAAACCCTGCTGTTTTACCTCTGGAATATATCCTAAATAATTCACTTGTCGGGCCAGGGATTTAGCTCAGTGGTTCTGGCGCCTGCCTTGCAAGAGCAAGGACCCGAGTTTATCCCCGGTACCCCCACAAAAAAATAATTCGCTTCTCTCCATCTCTATTGCTACTGTTGTTGTAATTCAAGCCATCTCTTGCCAGGGCTATCCAAGTAACTTTGGACCTGCTGCCCTTCCTTGCCTCTGCTTTCCTCATACCTTCTACAATTTTTCACATAACAGCTCTGCGTCTTCTAAAAGCAAACATTGGATTATGCTACTTCTATGCTAAAAAAAATATAATGAATAAAGTAAGAAAGAAAGAGAAAGTGACTTTGAACATACTATACTAAAATCCATACCTTTTTTCCGTGGACTGCAATGCATTACATGATCTGGTCTCTGTTTGATTCTTCAACTTTGTCTTTTAGTACTCTGCTTTCTCTCCTCCCATCCTACTCTTATAGCCCAGCTTTTCTATTCTGTTTCTAGGCACAGAACCTTTGTAATTGCTTTTTCTTTGTATGACATTGTTCTTTCCCTAAATCTGAACATGGATGGTTTCTTACATTTAGCTCAAATGCCATTTTCTTAGAGAGGTTTTTCCTAATTACTTAGTGTAAAGTGGGAACTAGTGATCAAGTTGCACATCTCGCAGTCATTTGTATGAGTGCAGTGAGGTCTGAGGAAATAGCAATGGGGTAGAGAAAAAAGGAGCATGGGAAAAAGGGGATTCTTTTTTTAAAAGCATTGTCAACTGACTTTGGTTTTGAGTTTGTGGAATGAGGTAGAGGGTAAGGGAAAAGCTGAGGAATAACTGCAGATTTCTTTCTTGAGGTAACTGTGTGGATGCTGAGGCCATTAACAAGGCTAAGGAAAATGAGAGAAGGAACATGTTTAAAGGGACAGGCGATGAAGGCTGTCTAGAAGCAGTGAGTCCATGTCTAAAATATGTTTTGTTTCCTTCCCTCCTTCCCCCCATCTTCTAGTTACTAAGAGATATAACTGAACTACAGGTCCTTGGTGAAATATCTTTCAACAAAGCTCTATATGAGGGACTGAATACAGAGAACCACAGAACTAAGGTAATCCCTGGCTGTTTTCTGGTTTGTGCTTAGCCTTTGAGCCCCTGCACAGGCACCCTCTGATTGCTCTTTCCCTGTTTTCAGTCGGTTTTGGCCTTGGCTCTGTCACTAACTACTTTTGCAACCTTGAGTGTGTCAGCTTTTGCCTTAGTTTTTCACCTGTGAAATAAGGTAATCGAATAAAAGACTAAGCTGAGGAGGTCTAATTTGAAGTAACTAGGCTGGAATCAAGAGCACTGTATCCTTTGATCTGAAAATTTATTGACTTTGAAAAACGTAGAAAATACATTTTGGAAATATTTCATAAGTGAGAAGTTATATTTGTACACATTAAATATCTTCTTAGTACGTAATGTCATTGTCTTGTTACAGTATTAAATAGTTATAATACTCAGGAATGCATAATTCTTTTATAAGACCTAGACTAAGTACTAGAACTCTTGAAATTTGTTTCGCTGAAGTATGACCAAAGTCAAACTGACATCTTTAGTCTGTGGGCTAAATGCTCCTGAGTGTGTTACCCTGAATTTTCATTCTTGTTGACACTTGGTTGTTCACGCTGCTAGTTTCAGACATGATCTGTGAGCTCCTGAGTTAGGCATGATTCTTCACTAGAGGAGATGTCAGGAGGGTGAACCTGAATTGCTAAATGTTAAATTGTCAGTTTTTCTCCCTGGAGGAAGAAGAGAAAAGAGCAATTCTCTAGACATGTCACAATGACATTTTCATTTATTTTGAAATATTTCTACTGCAGAAAATGATACGGGAGAAATAGAAGTGCCTCATTATTCTGCTGCTTGGGCTGGCCTCCAGCTCATGGCCAGCTCCTCCTGCCTGAGCCTCCTGAGTGCTAGGATTATAGACATATGTTACTACATTTGATTGTTTTTAAATTTTTTTAAAACTAAAATTTAAAAAAAATTTTTTTGCTGTCGTCTGCCTTCTTTGATCCTTATGTTTTAGGTCATGGCTTTCCCCATGACCAGCACAGAATTACCACATTGCAAATGTTGAGTTACTCTTATCCAAAGATCTGTTTGGATTTTGGGATCAGATCTGTTTTAGATTTCAGAGGTTTTGAATTTTGGAATGTTTGTAGACTTTGCCAATTGAAATCCCTAATCTGGAAACCTGAAATCTAATTTGGAGCATGTTGGATTTGGCTTTCTGGAGTGGGGATGCTCAACTTGTATTTTCACAAGAAAAGACACAGGAAGAAAGAAGTCAGCAAAGGATTTTTTTTTTTTTTTTTTTTTGGTTTTTTTTGAGACAGGGTCTCACTATGTACTTGACACTGACCTGGAACTCTCTATGTAGCCAAGGCTGGTCTCAACTCACAGTGATCCTCCTGCCTCAGCCTTCCTAGTGCTGGGAGTATAGGCATGAGCCACCACACCCAGCTCAAAGGATTTTTTTTTTTTCATGTGCCTTTGCTTTTTAGAGAGGAAGCTTCCTAAAAGCTCCCTGGAAACATCCCCTTCTATCTTATTAGTGAGAACTGAGTCTTGTTTCAATCTTTAGCAAAGGAGAACAGTTGTGTCATGATTATCTTAGGCCAGAAAGAATTGGCATAGGCCAAATGGCTATTGGGGGCCCCATTAGTGTTTGCCACAAGCAGTATAACCTCTGTTCTGCTTCTTCCTTAACCTCTGTCAAGGAAGCTTTGAGTCATTTTTAGGAACTTGTGCATTTTGAGGAGGAAAATGGGAGAATGCATCGAAGAAAAGATTCATTGCCTCTGGGCTGGGGATGTAGCTCGGTGGCACTCTCTTGCAAGTCCAGGCAGGGTCTTGAGTTTGATCCCCTGGTACCAAAAAAAAAAAAAAAAAAAAAAAAAAAAAAAAAAAAAAATCATGTCTCTATTCAAATGTAGCTTATTTCACTGCCACCTCAGGGCTTCCTTTCATTTCCTAAACCCAGATTCTTGAGTCCTGTTGCTCCCTTTGCTGTTGCTTTTCTGCAGAAGATAAAGTCAGCTCTCTTCTATTCTTCTTTTTGCTCTGTTAGTTTGATGCTTCCCCATCTCAAGTTCCAGAACTCACTCCTGAGATAGTTACTGTGAGTTACAAAGGGTCGGTAGGCTCAACCAGCATTTATAACCACGAAAAGAGGCCTCAAGGGTTAATTTGTGTAGCTATAGAGAAAACTCTCCAAAGCATCTTAACCTTGGTGCCTAAATGTATGCCTGAAAAGAGCTCAGTGGCTTGGGCAGGCAGAGCAGTCTATTTGGCAGCTTTTTTTTTTTTTTTTTTCTCCCATCAGGGTTCAGACTGGCCTTGAACTGACCATGTAGCCCAGGCTGGCCTTGAACTCATGGTGATCCTCCAGGCAGAGCAGCCTTGATGTTTACCTAAGTCTTGGCAGCATACTCTGACCACAGCCTGGGAGGGCCCAGTCTCAACTGGAAAACATCTCCCCTGAGCTTTCCAGCTGAGCCCAGTCAGTGAGATTAGCCGCCTGAAATTGAGAACATCTGTGGAAAATAAAACTTGGGGTTGACTTTTAATAGAACTCCACAAGTACTACACATGGATATAATTTTGATTTTATTATTGTGCCTTGGTACCTTTGTTAAATATTTCTGATGGGGAAACTGTATTACCAAAGACTATAGGGTTTTGTGTACTATCAAAAAAAGCTGTCAGAACAATTCTGAGTTAGAAAAGACTTGGATATTATTTAAAATAAGTCAATGAGTGGGCTGGGGATTTAGCTCAGTGGCACTGTTCCTGCTACACAAGCTCAAGGTCCTGAGTTTGATTCCTGGTACAAAAAAAAAAAAAAGTCGATGAATATAAGGCACAGGGATGTGCAAGTGCATAGCTGGATGTAGAATGTTAATTTTCGTCTCTGGTGCCATGGGCTCCTCTTTCAGACTGTTGAGAGCATTTTTAATACAAGGTCACACTCTTGACAGACCTAGGTTTTTGGATAAGAGACCAGAATGGTTTCTTTTAAAGGATTTTGCTCATTGGATGATTTTAGT